ACTGATGCCTCATTCTTTATAGAGCCCTGCTTCTTGAATAATTTATTTGCTCAGCATGCAGATTGACTAGGTACAGAGAAAGGATACAGTCCTGATGAACTTCTTTTTTTTTTAATTTTAAACCATGTAGTGTTTCTTTCACTGTTTGGGAAAATAGCCTCTTGTTTTTGCATAGGCATGATTAAGTGTTTTGGAATTCCCATTCTTCTCAGTGTTAGCCACAATTTGTTGTGATCTACACAGTCATAACACAGATAACATTCTTCTTCTGTTCTCTACTTTTTTTCAAGATCCATCTGAACATCAGCAATGATACCTTGGTGCTGCTGCCTCTTCTAAATCCAGCTTGAATTTCAGGCAGTTTTCTCTTGTTACACTGTTCTATCTGTTTTTCATAAGATGTTGTTGTTGTTAAGTGCCATCGAGTCGCAGGCGACTCATAGTGACCCTATGAAGGAGAGTCCTCAACGCTTGGGTGCTTTTCATCCTCTCTCTAGGTTCATAGAATTACTGGAGGCAACCTATTACAGAAATGGATGCCACTCCTCCTTCCAAGCTTGTTTTAATTGGGGAGCTTCAGCCCCCTGTCTGTCCACATTGGGTAACCAACCGTTAACGCATTTGACACATCAGTGTCACAGTGTTCATCTTCACAGCAAACACAAGTGACTGCTGTACGGCAACTTGTACACCAGGGCTATACGACCTAGAGGAATGTCTGAACAAAAACAATGAAAGACAGGCCCGAGGGCCGCGGGTTAAAAATCACTCACCTTTGGCTTGATAGCATCGCTTTCTGTCCACTGGGCCAGCTGATCTCTCTGTGAATTTCAAGCAGTTTTCTCTTGTTACACTGTTCTTTTTTTCATAAGATTCAGCAAGATTTTGTTTGCATGTGATATTGTTTGATAATTTCTACATTCTGTTTAATCACCATTTTTGGAAATATTCAGCCAATTCCTAGGGCCTTCCCCCCATTGCCATCAAGCCCTTTTGCTAGAACTTCGTCCTTCAGTAATGTTGGTGCTTGAACATATGCTATTTCTGTCATAGACATTTTTATTTAGTGACTTTCCATCGTCTTTTGGTGCTTCCTGGATCATTTAAGATATTTCCATAATATCCTTCTGTATTGCAAGGCTTGAATTTGTTTTTCAGTTTTTTAAGCTAGAGAAACACTGAGTGAATTCTTCCCTTTTTATTTTCTGACTCCACCTGTTTGCATATTTCATTAGAATATTTTGCCTTCTCCTTCAGCTCTTTGAAATTTTCATCTTCTACTTTGCCATCTTGATATTCTAGTGCTATTTAATAATTGTTGTTGTTATTCATTGCTATCTATTCAAAACCAACTCATAAATGACTCTGTATAGTGTGTTTTCAGAGTCTGTAAACCACACAGGAGGAGATTGCTCACTTTTCTTCCTCAGAGCAGGTGGATTTGAACAGAAGTCCTTTGGGTGGGCAGTACAACTCTTTATCCACTAGACCACCAGGTCTCCCTATTTTGCTCTTAGTTATGCCTAGTCTAACTTGCTTTTTTTTGTTTCTACTTTTGTGGAATAATAATGTCCCTAGTGACACAACCTCTTCTAAACCAAGCCTGCATTTCTGGTAGTTTTCTGTCAATGTTCAAGTCTTTCTGGATAATCTTCAATAGGATTTTGCTAGTATATGATATTGTTTGTCAGGAATGGGAACAAATATGGATCTCTTCTAGTCAGTTGGCCAAGTAGTTGTCCTCCAGATGTCTTGGCATAACTTGGTGAGCACATGCAAGGCAGCATCTGTTTGCTGAAATATATCAGTTGGTATTCATCAATTCCTTGGGCTTTATATATTGCCAAGTCCTTAAGAACAACCTGCTCTTCCTCCTTCATCACCATTGCCTCATGCTCATATGTTGTTTCTTGAAATTATTCTGTGTCACCCAATTCTTTTTGGTACAGTTACTCTGTCTAATCCTTCCATCTACTTTTAATGCTTTTTTAATCATTCAATATCCTGCCCCATAGCATCCTTACACTTTGCAACTTGTGGCTTGAATTTATTCTTTTCCTTTCAGCTTAAGAAATGCCTAGTGAGTTTGGCTGTTTTAATTTTCTGACTCTTAGCTCCTTGCACATTGCATTGGATCCTGGTAAAAAGCAGAAAGTGCCTTAAGAATATCTATCTGTGTTTCATTGACTTTTCAAAGGCATTTGACAGCATGGATCAACAATAAATTGTGGCTAACCTTGAGGAAAATGGGAATCTCAGAGCACTTGATCATGCTTAGACGAAACCTATACTTGGACCAAGAAGCAGTCCTCAGAATGGAGCAAGGAAACACTGCATGGTTCAAAATCAGGAAAGGAGTGTGTCAGGGATGCATCCTGTCCTCATATCTTTGCAATCTGTCTGCAGAACAGGTCATGTGGGAAGCAGGGCTTTATGAGGAAGAGTATGCTATCAAGATTGGAGGAAGACTAATTAAGAAGCTATGATATGCAGATGACACAATCTTGCTTGCTGAAACGGAGGAGGACCTGAAGCACTTGCTGCAAAAGGTCAAGAACTGAAGCCCAACATCAAGAAGACAAAGATTCTCACCACTGGGCCAATTGGCAGCACCATATTAGGTGGAGAAGAGATTGAGGTTGTTAACAATTACAGCTTGCTCAGCTCTACAATCAACACTCTTAACACCAGCATTCAGGAAATCAAAAGATGAATTGGGAAAATCTGCTGTCATGGACCTCTCCAGAGTGCTAAAGAGCAACGATGTCATTCTGGATACAAAGTACGCCTAAGCCATGCCATGGTCGTCTGCATTACGTGTTATGCTTCAAAGAGCTGGACAATGACTAAGGATGACAAAAGAAGAATAGATGCCTTCAAGGAGTGGTGCTAGAAAAGAGTCTTGAACATACCATGAACTGCCAAGAAAAGAAACAGATCTATCTTGGAGAGGGTGAAACCAAGTCTTGACTTGGAGGCTAGGATTTTGAAGCTCTGCCTCACTTACATTGGACATGTGTTCAGAAGAGATCGGTCTTTGGAGAAGGACATCGTGTTTGGAGGGTGGATGGACAGCACAGGAGAGGGAGACCCTGGATGAGATGGATTGATAGAGTAACTGGAGCAGTGAAGGTTGGTGTCAGAGTTAGTGAGACTGGCTCCGGACAGGACAGGGTTCAGAGCTGCTGTATCTAGGGTTGCTATACATCACAGGAGACTTAATGGCAGATAAAAATAATAACATACTATGACAGGTTTGGAAGCAGGAGTGCATCCACTTCCTAAATAGCGTTCTTCTGGAAACTTTGATAAATGTTGATGGTTGTAGAGGGGCTTCAGGCCTTTTATTCATAGGGTCACTATGAGTAGTGCTCGACATGAAGGCAGTCAACAAAAACAACTTTTTTGGAAACATTCTACATCCTAAATATGATCTGGTTAAATTAAAAAAAAAAAATTTAAAAAATCTTTCCCCATAAAGCTACTCTGTAAACTAAGCTAAGAATTGTTATTGACAATTACATTTTCAGTTATGTTGCCAAACACAGAGCAAAAAATAAATCTTGTGTTGTTGTTACTTGCTGTTTTTTTACCCAAGTCAAGCATATAAATTCAGAAGTAATTGTATAATTTAGTCTAATAATTACCACATCTTATTTTTATTGAAAAAAATAATTGTTTAAACTTTTCCTGGGACAATGATCACAAAGTATGTAAACTATAATTAAACCCTATCATCCGTTTTTTCACAGTGTAATGAATTATCATTTAAAATAAATGTGACATATTATTAACAACTGGTTGTTATCTCACACTAATGTAATAAAATGGAAAGAAGAATTGCATGTTTTAAACATTACAGTGCATTTGTACTTTTGTAAAGACTCTTAACCACAACTCTGCCTTTCTTTGTACTTTAGTGGTGGGAGGAACTTTAAAAGCTTGCTAGGAAGCTCTCTGAAAATGTACTTAGTACCACTTCTGCTCTATTCATTGAAATGTAATCAGTTATACTAGCAAAAGAGCTATTTTATCATGGTAAGTACTATGCTAATGAATTTTTTGATCATTAGAAAAATTCTGATTCTAAAATATGAGGTGATCTTTTTAGGTACTGCTTGATTGGAAGTTACTGTATTATTATTGTTGTTATTAAGTGCCATCGAGTCGCAGGCAAAACTCATAGAGACCCTATGAAGGAGAGTCCTTGACGCTTGGGTGCCTTTCATCCTCTCTCCAGATATTATTATTAGGTCCCTTCAAATTGACAACTCACAGTGGTCCCATGAACAACAAATTCAACTTTGCCCTTTCCTTCACTGTATTCACAGTTTCTACCATGCCTAAGTCCGTTGTTGCAGGCCCCTTTCAATCTGTCATATTGAGAGTCTTGGTCTCATATATCCCAATGACTGGTGCTTCCTGAAAATGGGCCCAAATTTTACCGACCCTTGCCTCTAAGGAGCAACCAGGATGCACTTCTTCCAAGACAGACTTACTAGTTCTTTTGGAAGTCTGTGTATATTCATTACTCTTTGTCACCATCGTAATTCAAAGGCATTGATTAATTTTTGGTCTTCTTTATTCATTGTCCAACTTCCAGATGTGTACAATGCAATTGAAAAATGCCATGGTTTGAATTAAATGCAGCTTAGTCTTTAATCTGTTTGTTTATTTTCTTGGCAGTCCATGGTACATTCAATACTCTGGATGGAGGGACAGCGCAGGAGGGGAAGACCCTCTATGAGGTGGATTGATTAAGTGACTGGGGTAATCGGGATGCATGTGTCAGAGGCAATGCGATTGGCACAGGACAGAGCAGAGTTTAGGGCTGTTATACATAGGGTTGCTAGGAGTCGCAAACAACTGGACTGCACATAACAACAACAACAACATAGTCTTTAATCTGATATCCTTCTTATATGGTAATTTGGAGATAGCTTTCATAGAGCTTGATTTCTTGCCATTGCCCTCAGTGCACCTTGAATTTCTTCCTTTAGTATCATTGTACTTGAGGATATACTACTTCCTGAAACTGCTGAGCCTCAACCACTTCATGTTGGTACAGTTACTCAGTGTATTCATTGTATCTTATTTTGAGATTCCTTTCATCATTCAAGATTTTACCTATAGACTTCTTTAGTAAATTGAAGTTTTATTTCTTTATCTTCGGTTCTTTCAATTTGAGAAATGCCAAGTTTGTTCTTCTCTTTTGGTCTTCAAACACCAGATCTTTATACATTTGATTATAATACTTTGTTTTCTCAAGCTGACCTATGAAATAATTTTTCCGCTGTTTTACTTCATCAGTTCTGCTTTTTGCACAAGGTCTACATTAAAGAGCATGTTTCAGAGTCTCTTCTGTCATCAACTTTTGTTGTTTCTTTCTTTCCCGTCTTTTTAATTACCTTTTATTTTCTTTATGGATGATGTGTTTGATATAATTCCACAATTTATCTGGTCTTTAGTCATTAGGGTTCAGTGCATCAAATATGTCCTTGAGATAGTTTTAAATTTAGCTTTTGTTGGTATGCATAGGTATCAGATCGATTACATCTGTAGAAAGAATCGCTAGAGAAGCCCAGTATCAGCTGTAAAAACTAGGCCAGATGCTGATTGTGGAATAGACCACCAACTACTCATATGCAAGTTCAAGCTGAAGATGAGGAAAATTAAATCAAGTCCACAGGAACCAATATTTGACCTTGAGTCTATCCCACCTAAATTTCAAAACCATCTCAGGAACAGGATTGAGGCCTTGGGCATTAACGAGTGAAGACCAGATGAGCTGTGGGAGTATATAAAGATTATCATCCAGGAAGAATCCAGGAAGTGTTTGATAAAATTAATTACTAATGGACTATGCCCACCATTATACCCTGTCTTACCAGATCCCCATCGGATCTTTCCCATTTCCATTACCCACTCACATGACTCACCAAACTCTGCAACCCTGTGATATGACCCTACCATCGTCACCAGTCTGCTGCTCCCACCCTTCCCCTCCTTGGATCCTCATACATATTTTACTAGTTGCTATCCTTATGTTTAGAATAAAAAAATGGGCAGAATATTAAATGATCCAGGAAGTATTAAAAGAAGATGGAAGGAATATACTGAGTCATTATATAGAAAGGAATTGGCAGATACAGAGGA